TCCGGTGCGTTTTGCAAGCGTTCTTTGAGCGTTTGCTGTGTGGTGTGTTACAGCTGACCGATATGAATGCACTGCAACTAACCCAGCATTTTAGACAACAGCAATGTCATTAGAGTTCATGTGGACTACTCTCCAAAAACGAAGGCAGACAAATGTGTGATATATGTACTTATCATACCAATAACGTATCAACTCTCTGGTAAATACAGTCCGTCTTTTCCTTGAAACTCCGATTAATTGTTTATGTAGTGCTAACCACAGTTCAAGCATGTTTATTGACATTGCTTTTTATTTTCCAGACCACTTCAGCTTCACCAACGAGAGTGTGGAAATGCTGGAGAAGTGCCCCACGAAGACCTCCGTGCTGGCTCTCTCCGTCACCTGCGCTCTGCTGGTGCTCATATACGTCTGCAGCATCTTCTACCTCTTCATGAAGCGGTGGATGACCCGCAACAACAAGGTCTTATAGAAAGGAGACGGCACCAGCCGACCGCCGGCCGGTCTGACTCGCCGTCTACCGATTCGAGAAGACGGCAGAAGAGCCGACACGCCGCGGCAGTTCGAACGGGCCTGACCCCGACAAATAGTGGTGGGCTCTCGTGGCATTACAACTGCGCTTTTACGCAGTGATCGTATTTGTATGTACAGAGGACGCAAGGGAGCATTTAGGTGCAAGTTATTGTTGATGTCCCGCGTCTCCGTTTTTTATGAGAATGATGCGATGGATGAGTGCCTTAGAGCTTTGACAGTAACTTGCATCTGGTGATTGTTAAGAAGCTTCCTTGGAGAGCGGTTCTTTTAGTGTTGTTTCTGAGACCTGAGACGATTTGTCGTCTGTAACTGAACAAAGGCATTCTTCTCACACGAGTCTGGGCGATATTTATTGTGGGCATAAGCAGTTGTTTTGAGAATACGTATCGGATATAGATGTGTGTCTTTGCATCTTTGTGTAACATATGCCAGTGTCGATTGTTAATGAGTACCTAGAGTCGATATTTTGACCTTTTGTGATGTTCTTTATTCAACATGCACTAGTTTGAGATGCCTGTATCGGAAGGAGTTTGAAACAAACAAGGTTTTTGTTAAGATTGGTGTGTCATAAAACAGAAATCATCTATAGCGTGATCACATGTTCAGTAAATACTCTAGAAACGATATCTTGACGTTTTTTTTTTCACAACAGACAGCCTTTTACAGATGTGTCGACATTTGTCTATATTCTGCAGTGGCTGAGTTTCTTTGTGCTCGCCTTTCTAGTGCAAGTGTGATGTAAGGATATCACGAAACATGGTCAATAAATGATATTTATAATAAAAACAAATAGTTTAAGAATTATATGAGTACCGCTGAAGGCACAGATTGCATGAAAATGATCAAGGGTAGGGGAGAGTGGGGTAAGATGCCCAGGGTGGGAAAGACGCCCCACCCCCTCTAGCGGTGAAACAAAGAATCGAACCTGGAAATTAATGTTCTTAGCGTAAAGCGGAAGCCTGCCTTGTTAACTGCACAAAAATTTGCGAAGCTCAGTTGGGCAACGGCTGACTGGTGATTGCATGTTTTTTATTTCCTGCTTTCAAAAAATATTTTGGTATCAAAACATTGTAAATATCAAAGAAAGTAGATAATTTTTGCGTCACTTGCTATAGTCGTGATACATTAGCATGCGTATACTGTGTCCCAAACAGTTTGTTTCAGGGTGTAGTTTTATGGCTAACAAATTGTACTGATTTAATGTCACTTCGGTACCTCGGGGTAAGATGCCCCCTGTCCTGATGGGGAAAGACGCCCCCCTAAATCCGTAGGTTGTCCTTCAAGCAGCCCGTCAAATCATTTATTACATACTTGTGATGAGAGACAAAAGCCGATCTGGGACTATTGAGAGTCCAGTACGGTCGGGTGCTCCCCATGCCGGTCTCTCGGCACACACAGCGACTTTTTGGGCGGCATCTGACTGAGAGCCCTCACGACGGCCTCTGTGGGCCCCATTATTGGCTCCAGGGCCCCTCACGACATCCTTTGAGGGCTCCCACGTTGGCTCCACGGGCCGCGCTGGCATCTGAGGTCCCAACGATGGGCTCGAGGGCCCTCAAGCATCATGAAGATCTATAAGGGCCCCACAGTGGTCTCCGAACGCCACCACGGAGGCTTGTTTGGCCGTGCTGGACTATGATGGCCCTAACGATGACCTCTGAAGCCCCTTACGACTACTTTTGAGGGCCCTTACGATGACGTTTGGTGTCTACTGCAGGGTCGAAGGGACTGCTGATTCGTTCAGGCAATTCACGTGCCCATTTATGTCACTTATAGTGCAGGGGGCATCTTCCCCAACGCCAGGGGGCGTCTTTCCCACCCTGTGGGGTAAGATGCCCCCTTTCACTTCTCCAGGAAAATGCTTAATAGCAAAAAGAGTTATCATATTTCAGGCACGAAAGAGTGATATTTTTTTAGAAAAATGATGTCGGCATCCGTTGAAACTCCAAGTTTTTGCTTTCCGATCGTCATTTTCGAATAATATATGACATAGTAAAACCCTGGGCATCTTTCCCCACTCTCCCCTACCAAACAAACATCGTCTCTGCATGAGCACCACCGCCTTAACCCGGCACCGCCTGAGCTACTTCCGTACCCACGACAGCCTGGGGGAGTCGGATCCGACCCCCTGTTATCTCGAGAACCAATAGTCGTATCAGCCCGCGAGGCGGCGTTCGAAAGGTCTCTACAAGACCTTCCGAAAGCACTCTTAAGATTGTAAGATTGAGGTCAACTTTCGGGTCAAAGTCGGGTCAAAGGTCGAATTCTGGGGTTTATGCATGATGAGGCTTTCGGACAGCGGAATCGATTGTTCCTGCTTGAAACTCACCAAAAATAACCTCAAAACCTTAGTAAGGGCACCATGTGCGTATAGGGGCCATACTAAGCACGGTTCAAGGTCAAGCCAGGTCACGAAAGGTCACGGTAGGTCACTTTCTGCTACGGGCATGCGACACATGTTTTATGGGTTATCTTTCACGCCGAATCCGATGGTCATGGTTATATGTGACCCAAAGTCACTATCCTGGTCATAAGTGTGTATTGAAAGCATAAAAATCGTTTATACTACAAATCACCAAGTCAGGGCTAAGGAAAAAGTCAATTTTTCAACTTATTATTTTTGACATAAAAATGCCTTTTTTCTAGACGAACTTTGTCCCAGGAATCTAACGCTACCGTTTATTTTTACATGCAATGTACAAAAGTGCCTAAAAATCACGATTATGCTTATGACGTCACCATGCCCTATACCTATTACCTACCTGTTGGATCTATTTTCAACAATTTGGGGGGGGGCAAAAATCAAGATAGAAAGTTGAAATTTAGAACAGTGTATGTTCTAGTAGAGCTCTATAACATGTATTCCGGTTTTTTGAAAAGTTTTAAAATTTTGGATTTTAGCAACTGTTTAAAAAAAATATAGTTTTTTTTAGTTTTAAGGGGTTCAAAAATGGAAATTTTAATTTTATCGCATTTTATGGGAAATCCGAGACAGCCCTTTTGAAGAACTCATTGAGCTGCGTCTATTCATGTCCTTAACCCTCGCCCGTATAGGGGGGGGTCGAACGGACCCCCCCCCCCCATGGTTTTTCGCGAATAACTCGCGTAAAAAGCGGCCGATCGCGACCAAACTTTCAGTACCCTCGCGTTCATCAATTTTACACCTACCCTGAAAATTTCATGACCCTGACCCAAATGACCTTTGACCTGTGACCTACTTTTCGAGACCATGTTTGGCCGGAATCGCGATTCGGCGTATGTCGGCTCGCATTAGCCGCGCGTTTGCAGTCTTTTCGTGGTTTCAAGCGTTCAAACATGTGATATGATGTTGCCCCCATGCATTAGGGTGGGTGTCAAGGTCACCTGAAGGTCAGGTCAGGTCATTGACCTTTGATGACCTCGGTTCACTTTTTCGAGTTTTACATGTTTCTAGGCCAGTTTTTGGAGCTGAATTCGAATTTAGCAACCATATGAACATTTACGAAGGAGTTTTGGTGCCTTCGTAACATGTTACGAAGCTGTCAGAGGCGGTTGCCACCTACTACGAATACCCTTACTGGTTGACCTGACCTGACCTGACCCGACCCGGCCTAAATGCATGAAGACATCATCTGTGATCAAAACTAACATGATATTCGTGATCAGCACCCCGAAAAACCCCATATCAGCCACACTTTACGACGTTCTAACAGGTCCCGATTTTCCCGACTTTTGGGTCATTGACCTGACCTGCAAGGTCAACCAATGACCTAGGACCTTAAAATTAGGTATCATCGGCTTCCTCTCGTCACGAGCAACACGCTCGTTTTTTCCGCGAAGCTCTAGCTCGATCAGGGGCGAAACGGCAAGGGGGGGTCCAACGGACCCCCCCCCCCTTATACGTTCGCGGCTGGAAAAACACCAATACGGGCGAGGGTTAATTTATAATTTGCTTTAAAACTTGATTTTTGACGATTTCTTAAACATATACCATCTTTTGACTAAAAAAGACGTGCAGTTACATCAATAAAATAGATACATCCCAAAAAATAAATTTTCATAAGAATCTGACAAAAGACGTCAAATTGATGAAGGAGAATGTATGCGAAATTGCTCTCTAGCGCTGTCAATTTATATCTTAGAGACGAATGGCTCCGGATTATGTGGTTTTAGCATATAATGAGCAAAACTGCTATATCAACTCCATTCCCCATGTTAGACATGAACATGTCCCTTTTTAATATAACACCAGCACCAATGCTGAACACGGGGGGAATTACAGTGTCCTGTTTAGACAAACTGAGACAAACCACCAGAGCTGGCCTTTCTGTACCTAGCGAATAACTGGCGTAGCTAACATCTCAGGTATCTCCTCCTATGCGGAAAAGGCTGCGGCCAGTGCACGCGGCGCTGGTTACGGGGCCGACAGCACATTGTGACAGCACACATTGTGAGGCGGGGCCGGCGGTGACTGCGGCAGCGACGGACGGGGGTGGAGGCAGTGCGTCGGCAGCGCCGGCCGAGGGAGGGCGGCTTTCTCTGCGCTCTCTCCGACGAGTGTAGATCTTCTGAGCGCCCTACTGATCAGCCACAATGGTAAGTCAGGCTGCTAATAGATGTTGTGGGGGATTGATTCCAACGATGAGTTGTCGATATTACAGCGTCTATAAAGATAAATCAGTCGAAAGGAAAATATTTGAAGCAATTATCATGTCATGATAGTTGTGCCTTTGATTCAGTTTAATTTTTCAATTATTGCATACGAGACTGCAAGGACCAACGAGTAACACGGATCGTATTCAATTGATGGCACCGCAATGTGCCTCTACATACTATTACATACAAGTCGTCCCGTTTGCATCCTTTTCGTATTTGTTTGCCTCTTTCTTTTTTTAGTGATTCTGTACTTTTTCTCAAATTCTGTGCGACTTCCTATTAACAGTAGGTACAGAAAGTTTTGGTTTTGTCATAACTGATCAGATCCACGAAATAACGTTTGGACTGATGCACATAGGGGTATTTTAATTTGACGTACGCTTTTCAGTCACCAGTCGTTAATTGTTTCGGTTTCTGGGAACGAAAATTAAACCAATAAGCAAAAATTAGCCTGAAAACGCACTTTGAATGAAAATGTCTATATAGTCGTAAAACCTTAAACCACACATTAGATGTTCCTCTTATGTATTCTAAACCGAAAACTATGTGGATGGATCAGCTAAGCGCATCAATTGATGCCTTCATTCATTCTTATCAAGCATCAAACTGTGTCGAAATGTTAAAAATTTGAAAATTTGTGAAACAAGAAAACGAATATCTTAGGTCGTTGCACTTCAATGGCATCATGATTTATAATTTGGCATATGATTCTATACAAAATCATCCAATAATGTTTTAAATTCATCATAGATGCTCCAAATGAACGTCGTTAGTGCTTTCAGTGTGGCAACAAATTACAAATAAAAAACTGAAACAAATATAAAAAACAAATAAAAAACAAATAAAACAAACAAATAAAAAAAACAAATATAAAACTGGAGTTTCAGGCACAAAACAAAACTTGAGATGGTCACTCAAAGCACACAAAAACGAAAGAAATAAGATGCTTTAGAAGCTGGGAATGCTGCAGATCAGGAAGAAAACGTTAACGTCAAATGAGACAAAAATAGCATAATGACATTATATTATGACTGAGGAACGTTCGACTCTCGAGATGAAATGTGCTATAAAACGTGATATAAGCGCTATTCAACACGTGTATCTCTCTTCCCCAGATAATGCTGAGGACTCACGTGCTGCCACTGTTTGGCTTGGTGCCTCTGGTGGCCAGTTTCGCGGGCCCACCTTTCGAGCCTGTCTTCTTCGACGGCAGGCCACTTGATGGTGAGTTACCCGGTACAGATCACGCCATATCCACATTAATCATGCCTTAATCGTACCTAAATGCGACCTCCTTGACTGTTTCAATGCTAAGCAGTGGGTACTTCCCAGCTGACCCTGAATCGGCCAATGCTTGGCTGCTGGGCTGCAACATCACGTGACAAAAACTCCACCCATATCCTCCCATCCTGTCAACACCACCTGCTTCTTCCTGTGCAGACTGGCCCACCGGCGTAGGTCGCGCGGCACGCGGCGCCTCACACACGCAGGTCGGTAGCGGAACACGTGACCTCTGACCCCCGGCGACCTCGTCGGCCGTCCTGTGACGTGGCCGTCCTGGGCATCGGTCAGATCCGGTGACCCGGTGACCCATGGGGCTCCTGCCGTGACCTCCGCACGAACGAACTGAAAACAGCTGGTTTTAATAGCCTTCAGAGGATATTAATCAGTTTTATGTTTCCTTGCTGTACTTAATTATTTATAGTGAATGTGTAAGATACAGAATCCAGATCAAGCAGAGTTTTTGGGTCAACTCATGGTCTATATATATAAGGGCTAAGACCGAAATATTTTTGAGCGGTGAGGATGTGGTCAATGGCTGCTGTTACCAAGCAACTGAGCCTGTTGAGCAAAGCAAGATGATTCGAGGCATTATCTGCAAACCGATAAATCTCAAGGTAATGCACCTCAGATAGACCATCGTCAGCGGCTAAATCATACTCACAGGACTATGGTTGCCATGAATCCGAGAGTTGTCAGGATCTAACCGTGAACTAACTGCACTGAAATGAATCGTAGGCTGAATTTCTCACGCCGAAATCTACATACATTTCCTGACATAATGGACATCTTTTGACTTGCAGCCGAACGTTCTTGCCCGAATTGCGATTCACAAGGTTGAAAGGCTGTGATTATGTACCTACTCTCAAAGTGTTCATTAAATTGCGCATATTATTATTCATCATGATCACCCGTGGCGGGAATTGAGAGGTAACTTCGACGTCTTTTCTAGCCAACCTTATTGAGCTAACGTTTATTCGACGCAAGATGTTAAATCATAAGGAGGCAATGAAAGGTTGGTAACGATAGGTCCAGTGATTCAGAAGATATTGCAGAAAAAAACAAACAGAAAGAGCTTTGTAAATGACTTCCCAGTCAAACACGAATCACGATTTGGTCAACACAAAAATATCCCACTGTACAGTGCGACGAGGTAATAGGCATGTTCCTGTAATCGAAGTGCCATTATCGAAGCGTTCATAATGGTTGTTTTTTTTATTGGTGTCTATCTTTTTAGTCTCTTACCTTAAACCGGTCAGGGCCTACGTGCCGACATTTGCGCAATATCATTTCCTCCTAAGTGTGGGCCAGATATCGTCAAGACAAAGAGGATCAAAACAATCAGAGACCTACAAAACAATCAAAGAAGTAATGCCGCAAAGAAGCAGTTCGACCTTGCGTTTGAAGGCTGAACTGTACCTCAAGAATCTCTTATCTGACCCACCACCACGGTGGCTTGTGGTTGCGACTTTCATAACAATGGCTTGGCCGGCAGAAGCGCCACACAGATCGCGTCATTGTTGCAGCTTTACGGGCGAAACGGTGCTGGTCTGTTACCGCTTTGGACAACAGCTCTAAGGTCACTGGTTTCTCCCAGGCAGGGAAACCTAGAAAATATCCCCTTTTTATGAGCGGACGCTGTGGAATGCGCGCATTTGCGAAGTTGAGAAGACACCTCCAACCGGAGAAATGGTACATACAAAGAAGAAGCTTATGTGTGTCCATAGATATTATAGGTATGTACATATACGGAATACGGATTGCATAGACACCTGCTATGTGACTGAGTGACTCACTGACCGAGATATCTCTGCAGTAGCGGGAGAGGCACATAGTGTCGAGCCCTGCACCAGTCGTGGCGGGGCGCGCAGATGCCTGGGAGGGTGTGTCACCGGCCCACCTCCTGTTCACAAGCAGAGCACGAGTTTCCCGGGCCTGTTCCTTCCCGTTCCGCGTGTACGCCAGCGAGAAAAAACTACCCGACTGTTCGCGATCGACTGCAAAATCATGACAGCACTGCGCGGGATATTTCTTAGATCAAATCTGACACACTTTTACCAATCGGAAGACGCAAAATCGTGAGAGCGTGGGATTTTATGTTCCGAAGTTTGGTGCGTGAGGCTCGAGTCACTTGTAGAAACTGGGAACCAGGAAGCAAGTTAACGGATCGCCTTCTTTTGTTCACATACTCGTATAATGCCGACGCGCAGCCGTGGGGGGGGGGGGCAGAGGTGTACACTGTACAACGTTATCAATGCTGAATGCAGTGTGGTAGGATTTGAATATCACATTACCTGTTGGAACTACATTGATGAATTGCTGCAGGATATAAAAGAAAGAAGAAATTTAATTCATTTGTCGTCAATGGTCAATGGTCAATAATAGCATGTTATTATTAAATCAGCCGATGCAATGATCAACCATTAGCAGTAATGCAACTTTAGATATGAGGGAATGATGAACATGTTTATCAGGGTGATAGCCACCATGATAAATAATAACCGTTCTTGATGGTCTTGTCACTTTTTACAGCTCACAGTGATATGAGTCACGCATCTTGGTATCTCCCTCTGCATTTGAACACCGATACAATGCAGCTGTGGCTGCTTGAATCGGTTTTGTGCTGGTTGGTTGCAACGAGAAATCTACCCAAAAAAGTGTTGATTGGTATATTTTCCTACATTCAGCGCTTGTTAGCCTTCGTGATTTAGAGGGGAAATGTAACTCTTTGGCTTTGCTGTATCCATTTAGGTACGTCGTAGCTCAGACCAGATTATATGTTCTGAGAAACAGCCCAAGTTGTTCCTGAAAACGCGCTGATAGCAGAGTTCGACAATATCGCGATACTACAGCGGCGGAAACAATAAGGAAAACTGAAAAACGGCACGCGAGCTCTGCTGCATAGGTCAACTTCAAAATGTATTTTCGCTACATACCAGTATAACGCCTTTTGGGGCGACTAACGGAGCGAGCGAGAGGGTGAGCCTTGCACGTGCGAAATTGCGAGGGGGTACCTCCAACTGAGTTGTGCACGGCACCCTACTAACCGGTCTCTAGCGATGTGCCAAATTTGAGCACAATCGGCCCAGCCGTTCTCGAGATCTGGAAGCGGCACCCTGCACGTGCGCACGTGCAAAATGGGTCCCAACTGACTTGTGCACGGCACCCTACTAACCGGTCCCTAACCGTGTACCAAATTTGAGCGCAATCGGTCCAGCCGTTCTCGAGATCTGGAAACGACCCCTGCACGTGCGCACGTGCAGCAGCACCCCAACTCTGGCACATGTATATGCAGTGCCTAGTGGGTGCCTACCTACATGCCAACTTTCAGCGCAATCGGCCAAGTAGTTACCGAGATATTGCAACAATTACAAAAGTGACACCTCTTCGTTTTGCACGTGGCACGTGCATAAGGGGTCACCCACATGCATCGGGAATAGTCCAATACTTGGTAGAAGGAATGAAGCTACCCTACAAAAATTACCGCGTGTAAATCGGTCAAGTGGTTGCTGAGATATAAGCCTCGCAAAAGCGTGACCACGGCCGGCCGGCCGGCCGGCCGGCCGGCCGGCCGGCCGGCCGCTCATACTCAGAAATTTCCGTTAATCTAAGGAAAGACTACGCTCGCTTCGCTCGCTCCGTAATAAAACTGTATTACGGGCTTATGAATTCGTATGCTTGCCAATAACAAGTGTCATGAATAGCTACCTGTTTGCCATAACGCTTCTGTTGTTTATCATTCCAGCAATTAGCTTAAATGCTAATGAATTCTTACACTTTCAGTATATAAATATCTCGTTAACGATGGGGTGGCTTATTTTTTAACCCGCGAGTTGCTGGGCACATTGCCCCAACAGACGGTAAATAACTTTTGAAAATACCCATCTCCAATATTAGTGTTTTCTGTACCAAAATTTTGCGAGGAATCCGATGGTGTGGTCCCCGAAATCTGAAAAATTTCCATTTTGGAGATAGCACCTATTTTTTGAAAAGTAAATATTCGTCATGCATAAAAGTCAAATAAATTGAAAATATAATTGAGTGAATATTTGTAGCAACATAAGAATGTGTCGTACATAAATTAGTGATATATTTTATCTGCGATGATACCTACTATATTTGCTCATACATGTACATAAACTTGTACATTAACCCTCGCCGGCCGAGAAGGGGTGGGGCTGGTGCCACCTCATAGGGTTTTTCGCGATAGCTCAAAACACGCTGAGGATAGACAGCTGAAACTTGGCATACCTAATCTTTTATTCAAACTGGATCTTTAAACACCAACCACCCTTTCAGGTCAGGTCAGGTCACTGGCCTATGACGTTATAAGTGAGCCTCTGCGAGGTCCTCAGATGTTGCAACTTTGCAACGCCCTCAGTGCCAGAGGAACTTTCACAGGAAGATGAAACTTACAGGACGTAGTATCCTTCAGAGGTCTCACAACTTGCATATCTCAGATTTTTCCCAAAGGTCACATGAGGTCAGTTCGGTTACGTGACCTCACCATTGTAAGTCAATGGGGGAAATATGAAGACTGTAATTTTGGCGCCGGAAATGATCTAAAACTGTCCTAAGCACATGAAATCGTGGTTTCATGTACTCCTTGTAAGGTCCGATCATGAAACCACGATTCCATGTGCTTGGGATAGTTTTAGATCATTTCCGGCGCCAAAATAACAGTTTTCATATTTCCCCCATTGACTTATAATGGTGAGGTCACGTGACCGACCTGACCTCATGTGACATTTAGGTTAAATCCGAGACATACAAGTTGTGAGACTTCTGAAGGATACTACGCCCTGTAAGCTTCATCTTCCTGCATGAAAGTTCCTCTGGCACTGAGGGCGTTGCAAATTTGCAGCATCTGAGGACCTCGCAGAGGCTCATTTATGACGTCATAGGTTAGTGACCTGACCTGACCTGAAAACGCAGTTGGTGTCAAACGATCCAGCTTGAATAAAATATTAGGTATGCCAAGTTTCAGCTGTCTACCCTAGGCGTGTTTTGAGCTATCGCGAAAAATCCTTTGAGGCGGCATCCGCCCCACCCCAATTCTCGGCCGATGAGGGTTAATGTACTAGTTCATGTTTATGTTTGCGCAGATATAGATCATCTCAGCTAAATTATATCTCTAATTCATGTTCGACACATTCCAGTGTTGTTATACAAAAATTAGCTCATTATATTTTCAATTTATTTGACTATTATGCCTGACGAATATTTATTTTTCAAAAAATAGGTGCTATCTCCAAAATGGAAATTTTTCAGATATCTGGGACCACACCATCGGATTCCTCGCGAAATTTTAGTCCAGAAAACACTTAAATTGGAGATGGGTATTTTCAAAAGTTATTTACCGTCTTTTGGGGCAATGTGTGTGTGGGGGGGTTTAAACGCCCCACTTTTTTCGTCGGGCCATAGCATAAAAACGGCGCGCCGCAGGCGCACCAAATTTTGGGTACTGTAGGGAATTGATTGAAGTTTATTGTGACAAAGAGTCAAAAAAATCGGTCGGAAAATTTTTGAGATATCGAGGTTTTAGTGACGTCATGATTTCTGAGTTTTCGACCAAAAACGGCATATGTTCAAAAAATTATATAAAATCTGCAGAATAGATATACAGACATGCCGTAAACGCCATTAGACTGCCAATACCTTGAGCAATCAAATGGCTATCTTCGATTATTGATTATTGTTCCGTATTTTCCAAAATCTTGAACTGAATCTTGGCAATTTCTCGTGACTACTTCACGACCATGATACATGCATTTCTTAAATTGAACTTTTTGAGCCAAACACGTACACGTATGAGAAAAGGAATTCACCATCGTGTTCTACGCTCCAAATTACCCATAAAACATGTGTCACAGGCTGCAAATATCAGTCTTGATTTTCGGGGATATGTGCCTACCCGGTTGACCTGACCTTGACCCTGGCCTATGCTTGACTGACCCCTACATGGAGCTGACACTCTTGTAGGCCTTATATGATAGATTGTGCACCGTTTTGACAGAGTTTATGACGAGAGGCGCCCATTGCGAAGTCCTGAAGTCCATGCTACTGAAAGCCCGATTTCAGGTGTTTGGCCTGACCTTGACCTGACCTGTGACCTCAAAATTCAACTTTAAAGTACTCATCTGAAGCGTCTCGTCGCGCTCTTTCGTTTGCCGCCTCGTGCGTTTCGCTGCGCCTATTGGTTCTCGAGTTATCGGCTGGGGGCGTTTAACGCCCCCCCCCCCCGCCAGCAAACGGTGGGTGGCGAAATACCCCAGCAACTGCCGGGTTAATTGAAACGGCTTCAAATATATATATTATGTATTTTATTAGCCTATGCTTGCCTCCTGGCTTACACAACCCCTTGCGCCTGTCACCCCCATGTCGACCCCTCACGACAGAGTCGGAGCCCATGAGGCGTGTTCGACGGTCGTTTGGCGACAATGCTAACCGAACCGACACGGTTTCGCCTCCCTGACCGAACCGGCCGGCTTTTTAACGCGCCCCATCGCTCGTAGTGTTTGTTGTGGTGGGCAGAGCCGCTTTCGCTTTTCAAGCGGAAGGCTTTCCCATGATACAGTTGCCTGGCAGAGAGGAAAGGGAGAGTGCGCCCCGGGCGGGAACGGCCGTGTCAGTAACGAGGTGTTGGGTTCCGTGATTTGATCTTCGCATGCCAGAGGCGGGAAACGCGGGCAAGATCCCGCCGCGGCCAACTTCCCGCTCGCGCTGAGCCTGGCCTACGGGCTGAAGTTCGTTTTTATTGACTTGATGGATGAAGTGTAAAGCAAATGAGCATAAAGCGTAGCATGATAATCACCAGTACTTTCTTCTTTATTCGTTGTATAAAGGAGAAGAGTCCGGATGACTGGCATCAAACAAACGGGGTGAAGCAGCCACAAACAAATTACAATTGTCATTGTTCGCGCTTACTTGGTGAGAGCTGAGAACTCCAGTTCAACGAGCCCATCATGCTTTATTGGAGACACCCGAACGTAAACTTCCTTATAAACATAAGACCCGCCCGGATCATATCATGGCTGGTGTTCATACGGAGAAAACGCGTGGGAAAAGCGCCTTAATCACCGCGGGCTTTCTAAGGGCGAGCCTTGCCGGCCTCTCGGCACCAGCATTACACCTCTCGTCAACTTTCGCGCGCTAGCGACGTGGCTGATGAGTGCCTGCGTGGCGCCGCGGCGCGCGGAGTGCCGAGCAGTGGCCGCCCCAGGTCAGGAAAGTGGGCCTCGGGTGGTCGCTGCGACCCGGCGACCCGGGCCAAATTACCGAGCGGACGCTAAACCGGTTCGCGGTGGCGGCTTCCGGTTGTAGGACGCCAATTGGCGGCTGTGGGATTGATATGCACTGGCCCTGAGCTCGTTATTCAGATTCCATTAATCACTGTCCGGCCATTTGTGAAGGAGTTGAATTAGTACTCTATGGTGCGACCATGCTTAGCAGTGGGTAGGACTGATAAATCCAGTAGGAATAAAAAAATGAGGATGAAAGACGAACTACTACAAAAAGACAGCAATATCTAGTACTATTGCAACCTCATGTATGACGTTGCATACATGCATCTCAAATCCGTCAATCAATTTAATTTAATTAATTTGGTCATGTATGACGTTGCATGACAAAATTACTTGAAAAGATTCATGAATCTACCGCTCAAAATTCACACTTAACAACGTTAGCGCACTGACAAATGTAAAAAAACACAGTCTTTGAACGGGCAGCTTGTCAACGACTATGAGTACACGAATTCAAATGGATTGACTTATACTCGTATAGTGTTGTTTAATTGAATTGTTGCCGTCAAAGCTGTCAATTAAATTGAAATTAATTATTTTGTTCTGACAGCAGCACACAAAATTTGACATTTAGCTCTATATGTTTTCCACAGAATATAGCTAAATTGTAAATCGCACCTAGAATACTGCTCACTATAGTGAGCTCCTATACAGAAGCTAATGCTGACGACATAACAATGGTTTCGAATTTGTGCAATTTTATTATCCCGGTCTGCATGCTGGAATGTGGGCTGGTGCAAGCCGCAGGTCCAGATTTCCTCTGAACTGTGTTATTAGACCAGTCTTTGTGCGTCCATATGATTTATCTGCTACTGTGCACACTTCCCAGTTTTGCAATATGCAGTCAGGAATCAGGAACAGAGACTGTCACCACACACACCAGGCATTCAATGGCAAGTCACGACTGCTGGAGGCAGACCGTGTTCGTTGAAAATTATTGCGCTTTGTTGTTCTTTGGGAAAGCAGATTTGGATGAAATGCAACATTTTTCAGCTATTTCGATTCGTTACATATTCGAACAAAATTTAGTAATATTTTATAGTATTTTTGAGTGTGTCCATTGTTTAAAGTTGTCCGACACTTATAGACTGTGCTGGCCTCATGACTCCGTCACTGCCTATGAATTCCAACAAATCAGATTTCCCAGTCTCCTTCCTTGTTCAACCACTTTTACTCTATCGGTTACCCAATGGCCTGCTCCAATCGCAAAAGATATGGGCTTTGTCTATTCTACGAAAATGTGTTGAAGTTTTTATCTCAGATGTTGTATTTCCTTTGCCATACAATATCGACTGACAAGCACGCTGCAGTGATGTGTAAGTGTATGCGAGCATAAAGTTTCTAAATCCACCCAAGTTTTGTTTATTAGATACACGGAGACCGCGACTGACCTGTGTGCAGTGTCGGGTCGAGCCGGTCACTTCAACCCACCTTTTGTGACGGGACAGACTTAGTGACTGTCGTTACTCGATATACTCACCACTCATCGTTACACCAGCCCCTCACTCTCGCGCCCGGAAGCGCGTGCAGCTCTCTAACAGCGACATACTTCGTTCCAGGCGAGCTGGTGTTCCGGCCGCCGGTGCTCGAGCGGCGCCTGGGCCGACTGGAGCGCCACGCGCCGGCCTCCGAGCTCACCCCGGACGGACTCCTCGGAGCCAACCCCGCCCAGGTGGCGCTGGAGGAGCTCGTACGAGAGCCGCGCATCGGCGAGCGCGTGCGCACCCAGATCAACTACGCGGCCGGCAAGCAGCCGATTGTGGTCAAAGTGAGCCCGCGCCCGTACGCCCCGCTGCCGCAAGTGGAGAGGCCGCTGGGTGCGGCTTCGGCGGCGCTGCCACGCCCCGTTCCGAGTCCATCGAGACCTTTCCAGGGTTCCATCAACGGCTTCAAGCGACCTGAAGACGTGTTTGGACCGGGTCCAGGCTCGTTCAACTCGTTCGGTGGTGGAGGGTCGTTTAGCGGAGGAGGATCGTTTGGCCGACCGTCTGTTGGCCGGCCCGGTAACCGGTTCCCCAGCCGACCAAGGCCCGTGGTGCGTCCTGGCTTCGTCATCCGCGACAACCCACCGACGAGCCCGCCGTTCCCCGAGACGGTAACCGGGCCGCCGTACCGTCCCCCTCCCAACGGCGGACTGCGCGAGGTGTACCGACCCAAGCCGGAGGGCCCGTTTTTCGTCCAGGGTCGCACCAACCCGAACCGTCGCGGCCTTCTGGCTGAGGAGGTGGCGGTGAACGCGGTCGGCGAGCGGCCGCACCTGGCCTTGGTGGAGGTTTCTGACCGCACGGAGCGGCCGCTTGGGATCTCCGAGACGCCTGTGTCCGGTGGCCGGCTGACGGCGCGCGGCCCGCTGGACGGCGGAACCATGCAGCTGACCAACGTGCACACCGTGTCGCGCGTCCAGCGGCCGCCGGGAGCTGGTCAGAGAGGTGGCCGGCTGCTGAACGGGTTCGCCGCCGGCGTGCTCGGCTTTCCTCCGACGCCGCCGTCCGCTCCGACCCCGCTGCAGATCGCCGCATCAACCCTAGAGCCGGCGGAGATCTCTTCAATCGCGCCGAGCGGTGCCGTACGCTTCACAGACAGCCTGAGCCTGACTCTGGGAGGTCCCGGTCTGCCAGGTCGACCGCCGATCAGCGTAACCCCTGCCGGGGGTCACGGTATCGTCTCCCAGATCCGCACAGCCGGTCCGACGGCCCCTGGTTTCCTGGGCACCAGCCGTGGCGCGTCTGTAAGGTCGAGCAGCGGCAGCAGCACCTCCAGACGACCGGCTCCCACGACATCGCATGGCAGGTCGAGGAAGATGCCCTCCTCGAGACGTCCCCCGGTCACCGCTGGACCCACCGGACTGCCGTTCCTCCCCGGACGCTCCCAAAGCGTCACTCCGGCGGGACTCGGCGTCGCCCAGGCCCTGACCGCCAGCCCGCCCACTCCCCACCCGCTCCTGCAGTTCACCTCACCGTCTGCCGTGCCGTTCACGGCCGACCCTTTCGGCACCACCGCCGCTCTGACACAAGGTCCCACGGCGTTCTCACTCCCGAACGGACAGCTCTCGTTCCCCAGCGCCTTCGGCGGCGGCTCTCAGGGCTTCGGGTTCTCCTCTGTGGCCACGCAGAGACAACTGGGAGCAGGAGGTCGCTCGTTCAACGGTCAAACTTCTCTCAGCCCACCCCGCTCACCCATTCCCGCAGGGCCTCGTCTGCCCGACTTCATGTCGCGAGATAGTCTGAGACCGAGCCGACACGGTCAGGGCAGGGTGGCGGGGCCAGCGCTGCCTTTTGAGAGCCCCCCGGCCGCCGGCAGTCAGCAGACATTCGGCACCGTTCGACCTCCGTTCCAGAATCAGTTCGACCCCCGTGTCCGCTGCGGCTTCCAGCCCAACTCGGGATTGGGGCTGGGGAGGACGCTGGAACAGGAGTTTGCTGCCGCTTTCGGAACTGATGCATTCCTTACTGGCAACACGCAGCAGCCAACTGCGTTTGGTGCGACAGGAGGGTTCCAAAATCAGCTTGGTCTGGGACGTGGTCAGGGCGCAGTGAATCAGGGTCTCTTCCCGACGGCTGGCACCCGAGGCAGGGGTTTGTTCAACTCACCCTCCGGCATTGGCGGTCGCAACAACGGCTTCCCCACGACCGCCGGCGCATTCAACAACCGCGGGCAGTTTCCAGCGGGTCGTGGCGGCAACGGCGCCTTTTCCTCACCTACGGGACCCTCCACCAGGCGGGGTCTGTTCCCTACGACACAAACTGCTGCGAACAGGAACGGTCTCTTCCCGTCATTGACCAGCCCATCCAGCCCACTCAATGTGTTCCCGACCACATTCTCAAACCGGGGAGTTAATAGCGCCTTTGGATCAGCGTCTACTCCCGCCGGCTCTTTGAACCCATTCTCTACAACTCCCTCTGGCCGCAGCACCAACGGTCTGTTGCCGTCACTGACCTCTCCATCGACAACTCTAAACCCATTCTCCACTAACCCAACCCTGCAGGGCAGAGGAAACTTCTTCACATCCCCGACCCGCCTTCCCAACAACCGCGGATTCTTCCCCACAACGCCGTCCTCTCAACGCGGACTGTTCACGCCCTCCGGTCGCTCCACCTCTCGCGGGGCCTTCCCCACCTCTCCATCGGTCCCCACTCGCTCGAACCGATTCCGTCCATCCACCCCGTCTGGCTTCTCTGACCTCGACCGCGGCGTGACCCGCGCGGGTCCGACGATGCCCGGTCGCAGGCGGGCCACCGAAGACTTCCCGCAGGACTTTGAAGAGGAAGTACGGTATTTTGAGCCTCCGGGTCGTCAGGCGGCGCTCAGTGACGAGCGTCTTAGACAGGCTTCGTCGGCCTCCAGCCTGGCGGGCACCTCTCTGGCGCTGTTAACGGCCACCCTCCTCCGGATGATGGTCTGAGGAGTGTGTGCTGTGGAGCTAGGGATTGACCCCAGCCACAACAGGAGCAGCAAGCAGCAGCAGACCGCCGACCTAAGGTGGCGATGTTTCGATTAGGAGCGATCCGATGCTACTAGACTTGTCGACTTGCAGTTGTGCGCGGTCGTCGTAAGAAAGAGGATAAGAGGCTTAAAAATGTGAGATGTGTCTAGGATAATGGGCTGCAAAGCATGGACACAGCGAACGGTAGTGCACAACCTATGAATAGGACGGATGGTGTTTATATTCGTTCGACGCATTATTGCAGCTCCTGAATGTTATGGCAGGTGATTTTGATTAAGGTGATTGTTATGCAGCTTAAAAGTTCGGAACGGAGCCGGATTGTCACGTATTGCTAGTATGTGTCGTTGTTTAGACACCACTGTTTTAGACTGTATGCTTGCCGTGTTTGGATAAGTGATGAAAATGTTAAGTATTCATGCATTTTTGCTTATAGATTCACATGTGTTTTAGCATATATCCACGTAAAATATTTATACCAAAAAGAGCACATCATGAGCTGATGAAGAACTGATGACTGATGATTATTTATACGCGTTCGTAAATAAATACATAAAACCACTAGTGCGGCTTTTCGGTAGTGTGGCGGTGAAAACGTCCGTCAGGACACAGGCCTTGTTCATATCAGTTTTGGTTTAAAATGTGTACACTCGTAGCCGCTACCTTTGATTGGTGCGTTACAACCTTTCACAGCACAAACATACTTTGAAAAATCAATCATGACAGGGGATCAGGCCTGACAGAAACAGATGATTGTCTGTCTGACACAATCCATTGTAAAAAAAAAAATCGTCAAATACATGTTCCTAGCAAGACTATATACCATAAAATTCGCAAGACAATGCAAAAATTGGCATTGGCTGGTTCTGCTGTGAATGAAAGTTAACCCGCGCATGACTGGGGGGGGGGGGGGGGCTCTAGAGCCCCCTCCAGTTTTTCGGTAATATCTTCTAAACCGTTTGACGGATCAACACGAAACTTGCGGTACCCTCAGCGGCATTAATTTGACACATTGTCTAAATTTTTAAAGTTTCTAACTGCCATAGTTTGGCCAAAAATGACGTCAGAGTGACGTCATGTCGGCCAATTTTGATGCAAATTATTGAATTACAGCAAACACTCTCAAGAGCTTAGTTTCAAAAGCTAGATCCAATTTCTTTGCATCAATGGACTACAAATAAACGTAGCTATCAAACTGCTGTTTCGAATTTTCAAAACTGTGAAATTTTCTTTAAAAATGTGTTTTTACAATTACAAGAAATATATTTTTTTATTTAAAAAAAAAGATTTTTCGCAAAAAAAACGAAATATATGTAATAGAAAACACACTGATGAACTATTCTAGCAAGTTTAGCCCAATGTCTTCAAAAATAGCCAAGTTATTTGCATAATTGTCAAAATTTTACAATTATATATTTTTTAAAACATTTTTCAGCACGTTTTTGACATGGTACAGCAATATAAATGGCACCATCATGTTCCTAAGCTTAAACTGCATCTGATTGGCACCTTTTTATTGAAAAATTTTATTTCCGAAATTTGACATTTCTGACCTGAACGTGACCTGACCTCCGGTAAATTCAGCTGAAAATGGCCTCAAATGACACAGCCGACATTGTTTTCGAAATCTACGAGTAAAATGGACCATAAAACATGCGTCACGTGACCGATGCATAATATATAATTTTCGTGACCTAGGATGACCTTGCCTTAACCTGAAAAATTCGAATTAAAAGTTCGGTGCCCTCAGGGTATCTAAAGCATATATCAAGGAGAGCGTAAACCAAACATAAGCCTGATCGGACTTGTCAGCCGGCGGTCAGAGCCTAAATTGTTAACAAGCAAAAATGCCGATAATATTTACTTTGAACTGACCTGTGACGTCATCGGTGACCCCAATGTCAATGAAAATAGGTTTCGCTCGACAGCTTTTCCAGGGCTATCAGATGCCGTATAAATTTTGACGATCGGCCTAGTAGTTTCGGAGATAGGAGGGGGGGGCTCTGGAGAGCTCCCCCCAGTCACTCGCGTTATGGAAAATACCCCAGTCATGCGCGGGTTAATCGACTCCTTTCGGCAGCTGCAGATAAATAGGTACCTAAATAAAAAAAACACCTATTGTGCGAAGGGAGCTAAAATTTGGTTGCTTTGATGACACATTCTGACAAAAATGCCTGACTGACGATACGACTCACCAAGGTTTAAGTACGAAACAGCGCTTTTTTTTGGGAGAGCATGAAAAAGAGCTGTTAATGGAAATGATTCAAACAGTAAAAGAAAGTTATCATTTCAATGAAGGCTGCTTCGAAAGAAGATGAGGCCGCACCAATGTACTTCTGCAACGATACATGCCAGGCCGGATTGACGCATGGTATTTTTGTGTTCCAGAGACAGCAAACGAAAAAAATATGTCAAAGTTGGTTTGTACTCACTTCTTACCAAATGGATGTGGGTAGCTCCACTCGACACTACACATACACAACCGTACCCCTATGTAGAGCGAACGTTTGCATAATTGATGAATATATTGCCGTTATGGTTTATATCATATGTATGCTAAATCGACCACCATTTCCCGTTTGATGTGACATATTCTATAGCTAAAAATCTCTATTCACGGTTTATTTAGTATATTACATCGACATGCACGGTAAACGTTCCAGCCCTTACTCCGTATCCCACCATGGCCCATCGCAATAAAGCTACCTATACCGGTGCTGGCTTCCGTCGCAGAGAAGGTAACAACGCGTTACACATGACTGCGTTTAGTTGCAAATGACAAGCTTCAATCTACTTGCACTGCATATATTCTAGGTACGGCTCTAGCGAGATTAAGCGGTAGGTTTAACACTTTTACATTTCCGTTTATATCTCAGAAACTAATCGATCTACAATGAAGCCATTTTACACGATCATGGCCGGCTTGTTACCCAACAAGTCAATCGCATCTTCAACACTTAAAAGCTTAAGACGACCAAGATATAGCCTGAAGTACCCTAAATTTTTTAGGCGCAAAACCTACCGCTAAAACCCGCGAGACCTGTACCTATCTGTGAATATTATCTTAAGCCAGCGAATATCGCTTAGACATCGACTTTTTATCAACTTTAACCCTCGCCCGCACATGCCATTTTCCCATCCTAGAACGCACATGGGGGGGGGGTGGTTGCCACCCCCCCCCCCCGCGCCATTTCGTTCCTGTTGGAGATAGAGCTTAGCAGTAAAGACCAAAAAGATTCTTTGGGAAGAGACGAATCCAATGATACCCAGTTTTACCTTCTCAGGTCAGTCATTGACCTTCCAGGTCAGGTCAAACTAAAAAATGTTGCTGTTTTGGGTCACCGTTGGATATCAAGTGCGCTGCTTATCAAATACCGATGACGATGCTGTTTTCTGGTGCCAAGCCAGCTAGAACCTCTTTGTCACACTATCCGACCAGAATTTTGCTGCTGAGGTCATTTCAGGTCAAGTTAGGTCAAGGTCAATTATATGTGTTTGTATGTCTGTGTGTGTCTGTGTGTATACTTATGTGTGCACCGATTGTTTTTGGGTCCATATCACATGAAATCATGATCTGAGAAGCTTTTACCAAAAATGCAGTCAAGAAAACTTCACAAAAAGTAAATTCATCTTGCCTAAAACGCAATTATCTTAGATGACCTAGGTTGACCTTGACCCTGACCTTGACTCCTGTACATCGTCGAACAACATGTTCCATGATAGGTGGGAGGTAAGACTGGCATAAAAGGCCGAAATCAGGGTGTCAAAAGCTCACAAGGCCCATGGCAAACGCAAGATGTTGAGAATTGGCCATTTGGGTCATGACATGACCTGAAAAACAAGGTCATATCTCCGAAACCAAAAATCACAGAAACTTGAAATTTTCAGTGGAGATCAAGAAAGGATAAACGAGCAGCTATACGAAAAATCAGCCTTCGCTCTAAAAATGTTGAGTGCAGAGCAGAAAGACTGCCTGGGGGGGTGGCAACCACCCCCCCCCCCCATGTGCGGGCGAGGGTTAAACATGCCAGCAAACAGAAGGCAGTACGAGGATTTACTAAAGCCCCATGCCTGAATCCTTCTTTTGAAGAAAATTCTAAAAAAGGAAAACCAGCTCCTGCATCTCAACTTGAGGTTGATACCTAGAGGGATAGTTTGGGAGAGACGCAGTACGCACTAACAAAGTTATCTAGCTGACTATTAAGTGAAGATTATTTTGTTGAAGCCTGTTTCAACCTAAATGTAGGCATACAAATGCTTGCGTATGATGTTATTTCTGCGTTCATGTCAACTGCCTATATCATAGATATTCATATAGCACCACCATATGGCATATCTATAACAGTTTTATGCTGATATAAAGGAAAAAGTGATGAAATATGAAAAAGACACCATTCACCCTCGACCGCACATGGGGGGGGGGTGCCACCGGCACCCCTCCCCCCAGGCAGTTTTTCTGCCCCCTGCACTAAACATTTTTTAAAGCCAGAAGCCTGATTTTTCGTATACCTACCTGCTTCTCTATCGTTCTTGGTAAAGATTGTTCAGGACACCACCTTTGTTTATTTTCATTGAATGCGCAGACACTTTATTCGTTAAGACGTCAGCGATTCGTCTTCGGGTTCTTGGTTCGTTTCGGCTGTTTCGATGAAGAATCGTAGGTCGTAGGTTGGACGTTCAGCTTGATTCGTTAACATTTTCTTGTTTTTTTCATATATTAGGTTTATTATGTAAATATTTTATTATCTTATTTTATTATATATAAGAATTATTGTTTTTATTATACCAAGAAGAATACCACTGTCCCAGCTCAACAACATCAACTATAATGCTTCTCTATCCTTTCTCAGTGTCCACTGAAAATTTCAAATTTCTGTGCCCTGTGGGTTTTGGTTCCGGAGATATGACCTTGTTTTTCAGGTCATGTCATGACCCGGTATGTTATTTGCTAGTCTTACCTCCCACCTATCATGGAACATGTTATAAGACGACTGTGCAGATGTCAGGGCCAGGGTCAAGGCCAACCAGACATCTAAAAATATTCCATTTTAGGTTTGTTGAATTTGATTTTCGTGAATTTTTTTACTGCATTGCTGGTCAAAGCTTCTCAGATCATGATGTCATGTAATAGGGACACACAAACCAATCGGTGCACACATCAGTATACACACAGACACACACAGACATACAAACACATATCATTGACCTTGACCTAGCTTGACCTGCAATGACCACAGCCAGTAAAAACCTAGTCGGATAGTGTGACAAAGAGCTGTTCTAGCCGGCTCGGCAGTTGGCACCACAAACAGCAGCGTCATCGGTATATGATGGGCACCACACGTGATATTCCAAGGGTGGCCCCAAACAGCAACACTTTTTAGTTTGACCTGACCTGGAAGGTCAATGATTGACCTAAAGAGGTAACATTGGGTACAATTGGATTTCCCTCTTCCCAAATAATATGTTGGTCTTTGCCCCGAAGCCCTATCTATAGCAGGAACGGCATGTGCGAGAGTAGGAAAATGGCATGTGCGGGAGAGGGTTAAAGGGACCCTCCCACCAT